ACCTTGTTGTACAAAGTGGTGTACGCAAGTTTCTGGGCTCAAATTGTGCGTACGCCAGTTTTATAAATCCGACCCCTGGTGAGTGCAAAGTGTGCTTGCTCTCAGTAAATTAAGCAAAGCCATTTTCTTAATTTCATCTTTATTTCATCCACCATTAAAGACGGACTGCAAAAAAACCAAGACCTTAAAATTTTGAGATTTTCCCTGTGAGCTAGCAAAGCTGTGTTTCTTTTTAGCTGGGAAATCTCAATATTCAAATATAACTTGAGGTTTCCTCTTTATAAGGACATCAAAAATTCCTCAATAAAATGACATAAAATTAGGATTCAGACCAAATATTTATGTATTATTGTAACCAACAAGATAAATTAAGTCATACATATGGATTTAATTATGATATCAGAATGATCCAGGTGTCAAAATGTAGCGTTTAAAGCCAAAAATCTGAAAATGTAATTAAGTCATTTTGACCAAATTTGACTTAATCCTCATTTAGATATGATGGGTCACAAATATCCTTAGCACAAAAAGTAAGGAATTTTGTGTTTGGGAGATCATTTCTTTTTTGTAACAACTTATTTTGCTGTTGCTAYTGACTCTTGCTTTGAGCTTCTGGTACCTCCAGGTGCTGCCAATCAGGTACTACCTTTACTTTTCTTGCTTTTTGTGCTAAGTTTATACATTTTTTGTTAAATATGCTAACATGAAATTATTTAACAGTTTTTAGCTCACTTTAAACCAGGTGTGTTGATGTTAGGCTTCTTTTTCCTTTATCTATTGACAAAGACTTATTGCATCATTTTCTGCTCTTATTTTTTTCTTTCTTTGTGTTTCTGCAGTTTTTTCGTAAACCGAGCTCCCAAGTCTACCAAGTCTACCGTGTCTCTACCAAGTCCTACCATGGCTACTGCTGCGCTCATCTCGGAGAACCTCAAGTTCATCTGGCTCCTTATTAAGAGAACAGATGGGGTGATCCTCAACGGTCTGATTGCTGTTGGCACAGGGATTGGTCAGGCTGCATACACAATAATTTCCTTCAACTGCCCGTGCTCCTCCAGGAGAAATTACCTCTACAGCCTTGCTGTGATCGGCGCTCCAGCTCTGGCACTCTTCCTCGCAGGAGTGATGATGAACAGGAGCACGTGGAACCTGCTGTCCGACTGTCGGCTCAGGAAGTGTCAGAAACTGTTGCGAGTCGCTGCCTTAGCCCTGCTGAGGAGCGTTGTGGGTCGAGTTATGGTGGCTCCGATGACGTGGGTCATCACTTCATTTCTCTGGGGCCAGGCATATACATGTGCCCTCAGTGAGTTTGTTGATCCCAGGACGCTGGAAAATTTCCCCTCGGGTCAGTGGGGGTCAGAGGTCATGGCTAAATTCCCATGTGCTAACAGTGTTCCGACGGAGCTGGAAAGTTTTTCGGCAGAAATTGGTCGACGACTGAATTATGAATCACAGGTAGAGCAGGACTTTTAATAAGGCATATCGCCCATGGTTGAAAGGACAATTATGTTTTTGACTGTAATTTATTATTTTATTTATTTATTGTCAGTACAATTAAGATCTCATGAACATTTTAATGAAACTCAGAAAATAAATTTTGGATGTACATCTATCACTGGTTAATCCGATTGAGGATGGCCATCACAGCTAATTGACATTAATCAACATATAACTGAATCTCATTCAACTTTAAAGATATTCAGCTAAAACTTGGTTTGGCCATATCTTCAATACACCTTCAATACATCTCACAAAATCTCTTATTATTAAATATGATTTCTTATGTTCAGTGGTGGGAAGCACTAATCTAAAAATTTGTTGCACTAACCCTAAAACCATTAATTTTAATATTTAGGTCCTCTAATTCTAAAGCACTAACAGACATAAAAAAAATAGCAAAAGCTAATTTTAAAGTACTAAAATCCCAGCTGATCCATGGAACTATCCTCAGAGTCAACATCAGACAATATTTTCTGTGTGCAGAATATTGTTAATATTTCATCTCGTGTAGTGGTTCCCAATGTTGGGGTTGGGACCTCTTTGTGGGACACAAAACATCAAGTGAGGGTCCCCAGATGATTTCCATACATCAATTTAAATGCAAAAAAAATGCTAATGGAATATTTTCATCATGATTATTGCATTTTTTTTAAAATAACCATAAATTAACAATAATTAGTATTATAGTTACTAGGTTTGTTTATAATTATTATCCCCATGTTTAACAGAGTAATTAGCAAAGTTTGCATATGTAAACAAGTACTATCACGAGTGTCTGCAACTGTTATTTTGTGAGTTGGAAGCAAAAAAGTTTGAAAACCACTGATCTAGTGGATAAATGACACGCATACGAACAACACGTCTGACACCTCAGCTGTTGACAATAATGTTGATCAATAATATTAAAAACTCTATTTTAAACTCAATTAGTGCTTATAAATTTAGCCCGTAAATTTAGCTAGTACTAATCCACTATTGTAGTAAGAAATTAGCAAAATCCCTAAAACACTAATCAGGAAATTAGTTCCCCTATTAGTGCTTTAGTGGAACAGTGCCCACCACTGCTTATGTTATTTTCTAGGTCTGACCAAAGCTATTATATCATTCCTTAAAATCTGAAACTCTGCCATGAAAGGAAGTGGTTGATATGCATTCCTTTGTTTTGTAATTATTGTAACAAGATGAAAGCTAATAAACTGTCTCCCTCCTCTTTCAGCTGATTGCCTTGTTGTTGGTGGCAGGAATGTCTCTGCTGGCGTTCATCCTACTGTGTGTGAAGCGCTGCACTTCTCCCCTCAACTGCCAGCAGGAAGACTACTGGTCCCAGTACCGCTTGCACGAAAGGACCCTGCTGCAACGCACAGCATCTGTGCACGCCCACCTCCTGGCTGCACAAAATGTAAAAAGCTTTTTTGGCTTTGTGGCTCTGGAAGAGGAGGATAAGGAGGAGCTGATGGAGCACCAGAGTGCTTACCCAATCTGCAGCACCGACTGGAACAGAATCACTGGGGTCTACTTGTACACAGAGAAGAAGGGGCTTCCTCTCTACAGCAGGCTAAATAAATGGGCAACATATAACCAAGAGGGCACCGAAGCCGTGGAAAAAGAAATGGTTGTGCTCAATTGATGTTCTGTGAAGTGGACTCAAATATCTATTTAAATCCAATTTAAAAATACATATTTAGTTCTGGTTTTAGGTTTAAAATTTTTTTAAATATATTTCATGTGAACTGTGTATAAACACTATTTTTGATAAGGGTCTTCAAGATTTAGTTTGGTACCCCAAACTGATGGAGAGATGCTGATAGGTGCAGAATGCATTGAGGGTCAAGCTGTGAGTGAAACAGTTCGGCTGAYGGGCTCAGACAAATACATTTTGGCTCCATTTAGCAATTTGCTACATGTTGAATTAGTCTAAAGAAAAAAAAAATCTTGCAGTTTCCAAGATCCAAACCACATTGAAGGCTTTTAAAAGCTTGGCTTTTCCACTAGTGAGAACCAGGATTTAATACATTCAATGCCAACATCTTATGAGTTTGCAATCTTGCCTCAGTTTCATTACCTTTTCACCCACCGTTTTACTGTGATCTTGGGAAACAGTCTGCAGCTCACCAAAGACCAATAATTCAAACCTAACCACTTGTTTTAATTCAGTCTACAAAACTGACTCAGCCATTTGTTCGCAAAGTAAACTTGGCACCGCTACTAATTAGTGGCAGAGCCATGTATTGCCTTCAAATTGGGCAGAGACCCCAAAGTTTGTATATACTATAAAAAGTTGAGCTTCAGGAATAGTAGAGTAAATCAGACCTTGTCAATTTGATCAGGTCTGGTGGTGAAACCACTTGTGATGCTGAGAGCCAAAAAGATACTTTTTTGATAAAGCACTACATTCTGTGTCAGAGTCATAGGTTAAATTTAATATATAACTGCAACTACATTTTAAGTGGCACTGGCTGAGGTGGGGGGGGTCTTCTCAGCAAGTCAAGCCCTTTAGTGATGTTGGGAGCCCACCAATACAGAATAATGAGACAGCATTAAAATATGAAGTCACTCAATTAAAGGGGAATTTTTTTTATTKCAAAGAWACATTTTAAAACTCCTAATGTAGGCAAGTTAGAAACTGCCTACAACTTGACCCTGGACCACCTGGCCTTTGGATGAGGATAGGGAGTAGATGGAACCAGCCACTGAGGAGCAGCTGTGGGGATCTGAAGCTGCTGCTTCTGGACAGTCACTTGGTTCTGGTCTGCAGGTTCTTTCAGCCGTCTGATAGCAAAGCCACCAAAGTCTTCAGGGATGGCAAAAACTGTAGAACCCTGGGCAGAAGCTCCCACAGGGCTGCTCCTGGGGACAGCCAGATTATGGCTGGTTTTGTAGGTCTGCAGCCAGCTTCTGGGTCTTCAACCTCCTTCCTGACCCACAGATGGTTTCCAGGACTTGGTCAGAGAGGACAGCCTCCTGGGTTTAGGTCCACCAGACCTACGCTTTGAAGACACCCTCTTAGCAGGACCACGAGCGAACGTTTGTATCTGTACAGAGGGTCCACCTTGTTTTGGACCAACAGGACCAGACAGACCAGCAGAGGCACCCACTTGGCTTTGGGAAAAGGGGGTTTTAGCAGCAGCCCTGGAAGGTTCTTGTGCTGCAGACTGAGGAGAAACTGGTCTGAAGGAGTAGCTTTCCCTAGAAGCCAGAGAGCTGCTGGATGGATACTTGCTGGAACGCTGCAGTCCCTGCTGAACAGGCCAACTTCTCCTGCTGAGAGCAGAGGGGTTCTTCTGGTTCTGACTCACTGAAGGTCCACCAGCAACAGCAGGAGAAAGACCAGAGGACAGCTTTAGTACATTTGGAGCATTAGCCCTGGGTGAAGACAGCTTTTGCCTGTAGTCTTTGAACACAGAGCTGCTCTGCACCAGTCTGACTGAACTGTGGGCTGGCTGGGAAACAGCTTGTGTTGAACTCCTGCTGGACAGTCCTGGACCAGAACCACTGTAAACTGCAGGACCAGTGTTGAAGCTACTGCTCTGGACTGAGTGTGGAGAAACAAAGCCTTGTCTGACTTGATTCTGGGGATARCTGAMAGATTTCAGCCATCTGCCATCTGGTGGTGGGAAGCCAACATTTGTGTTGCTGTTCTGGATGTTCTGAGCTGCAGGACAAGACACAACATGAGTGTACTGAAGCAGGACATTTGACCAATAGAAGACTGATTTCTCATCTTACCTCCTTCAGTCCAGAAACAACATACATGCTCTGCTTGAACAAAGACAACCACCAAGATTCTGTTCAGGAAACAAAACAAAACAAAGTCAGGAAAATAAAAACAAGTGAACATTTCAATGAAAGCAGCTGCAAACACTCACCCCAAACCAAGTCCACAAGTCATTTCTGASTCTCAACACAACAGAGAGCTACTAGCTGTGTGTGTGTTCACAGCAGTGATTTGGTATTTATTGGAACCTGCAGCCAATCACAACTCAATAAACTGATTGTCTGCAGGTGCTGCTGATCCGGAGTCAGGAGGTTCTTCTTCTTTTTCTTCCTAATTTTAATGGTGGTTGGTATAAAATAAATTTGTGCATTACTGCCACCAGCTGGTACGAAGTGTGGGTCAAAATGTGTGTTTGTCTACAGTATCTTGTTTATTAGATGTCTCATCAAAACAACACCCACAGCAGCCATGGAAGTCCTACTGGACCTGACTTCACTTTTACATGAGGCTCCATCAGTAAGGCTACACCAGTGTTGTGGTTGGGAAAACCTATCTGACTCACAGCACACTAGAATCTGGGATTGGGCAGTTGCTGCTGTTCCAGTAACTGCAGGACCCGGAGACAGAATAGTCAAAAAATACAATTTTAAGTCAAGTTTTATAACAGAGATTGAAGACAGGTCTGCCTGGAGTAATCTCTCTATGATGGACATGTCTCCAATCATTTCTACTGTTTTACAGATGGATCTCAAGCTGAGGTTATGAAGATAAATTAGACTCATAATGATTTGAGAGAGCAAGCAAGAAGATTTGAGAGAGGAGTAAGATTTGAGAGAGAGAGAGGTGAGTAAGATTTGAAAGAGAGAGAGACAGAGACAGAGACAGAGAGACAGAGACAGAGACAGAGACAGAGACAGAGAGAGAGAGAGAGAGAGAGAGAGAGAGAGAGAGAGAGAGAGCAGTTTTAACAAGATTTGAGAGCAAACAACCAAACTGGATCAAACAAGCAGCAGCACGTGCTCTGGTACACAGTTCTGCTTGCTTGCAAATTTGACTTTTGAGACTTTCTTACCATTGCAGGATCTGCATGTGTAATGCTGCATTCAGGACTGGTGAAAAGCTGGGACATCTGAGCTTTGGCAGCTACACTGTACTGGGCTGTTGGAAATGCCATTTTGTGACCTCATAACCACTATATTAAACACATGTGCTTAGGCTACACTGACATTAGATGACACTAATATAACAGCTTTTCACAACTGCTCTTTGAAATAAATTCATTTAATTGGTAGTTTCTCATTTTCTTCAGAGCATATTTGTCATGGAGGAAAATACATTTCTGAACACTATCATGTTTGTACAATACTGTATACTTATTTTGTATAAACATGATAGTGTAATAAATACACGTGATATTATATTGGAAAAACATCATAATTATTTTGGAAAAATGTTATATAGTACATTGTATAAACATATTCTTTAAATTAAACCTCCTTTCATCCAGAAGGTGTTGTTGTCATGCTGTGTTAGCCTGCATGCTACTACAATAGATAGTTGTCATAGGCTGTGTCTCAATTCATGGGCTCCAGCTGGGCCACGTAGGCCACATCCTTGCTGGGCCGGGTAGGATGCTCAAAACTGCTGCGAAATGAGACGGTCCAGAGACGGTCCAGCCTTCGCTTTGTGGTGAATTTCCAAACTGCGCCGACACGTTAAAAACTAAAACACCACCGTCTTCATTTCTCAGATTATTTTGCTGCCCGCGCATTGAATCCTGGGATGTCCTCGGCTGGTAAGGTGGATGCATTCTCGGATTTCGACAGGAAGTAGGACGCATTCCTCGGACGCATGATGAGGAGCCTTCGAATTGGGACAGTCCTCCGCGCGGGGCAATGACGTATGCGGCCGACAAATGCGCACTCATGAGGACCCAGCCCCTGAATTGAGACACAGCCATAATGTCAAGAGTCCCAGGGGAAAAATTACTGAAAGGCAACACATGTCCTGCTTATTGAAAATGCTGGATAACTTACATATCAGATGCAGTAATCAAGATGGAAGCCAGGTGGTGGATTTGTTCCTTCAGACCTGCCAGACAGAGAATAAACAAGCCATGGCAGRAAGTAGCTTACACGTCTTTGTAACCATCATTTGATAAAAGGTAARAATAACTTTGTGATTTCTGATCCAGGTATTTTAGTTATGTGGTTTTGGTGGTACGGTTTTATGGAATGAGGATTAGTGAACGAGTTATGTTTAGCAAGATAAAATAACATGCAAATAAAGCTAGCTAAATGCTGAAAACATAAAATAAGACAGTTGTTTTTGAAAGTTTAGTTACATGTTATTGTTGCTACAATTTTACATTCAGCACTAATAAAGGAGCAGGTACAAAGTTCCTATTTTTTTTTTTACTTTCTGTCTGTGATTCTTACTGGGATGTTAAAATAGTTAGGACAGGTAAGACTAAGATTAATCAAATCTGACAATACGAGAAAATTGGCGAATTCTCCTAAATCACTCGTCCACACAACTTAAGAACACATCTGTTCGTAAAAATGGTTCTTGCATGAGGCCCATTGTATGCAAAACTTATGATATGAAGCGTACACATGAATTTAAGCACATTTCCATTGTATGATCAACAGGGAACTGAGTGTAGGAGACATGCCTTCATTTCAATATGAAAACTAACCCAAATATGCCTTGCACATGCAATTCTCCTCTCTTTACAATCAAAGATTATGTCTACATGCAAAAATAATAATAATAATAATAAAAAAAAAACAAGGTGGAATTCAATGCCAAATTTGGTTTGGTATGCCTCCACCTGCCCTAGAACATGTCTGCCTTTGAAAAAAATGTCAGTTTTATATTACCTATCATAAATTACCTTGACCTGTGGCCCATTAATACCTAAATATAATGAGACTGAGTACTAACCTAATGAAGTTACTATGCCTGTTTATAAGTAAATACACTGTATAAATTCATTCAGGGCCTATCATGCATACCCTTGAGGGATGGACAGCCAGAGAACAGTAAGCCTCTGGCCCCCAGTGGGCAGAGTCATAAAATAAAAATAAATAAATAAATTTAAAAAATGCTAGGTGTGCAAAAATTCTGTGTTTAGCATATTGTCTTCTGATATTAAGTGTAAAAAGCAAGAAAAGTAAAACGACATGTAGTGCAGCCTGGTACACCAGTGGATGAGGCTGAGGCATTTCAGACTTTAAACAAGCTTTTTTTTAGTGTTGCATTATCACTTTTTAAGAGCTGTTGCCTTTCAGCAAGAAAGTTATCATATCTAATTCCAGCCTGGGACATTTCTGGGTAAAGTTTGCATGTTCTTTCTCTGCATGTGTGGGTTTTCTCTGGGTACTCTGGTTCCCCCCACAGACCAAAAACATGAATGCTAAGTTCATTTATAAATTAACCCTAGCTGAGAATGAAAGTTTGCTTGTCTTGTTTGTCTCTATGTGGTCCTGTGATAAACTTGCAACATTTAGAAAGATTTAAAAAATCTTTATAATAAAGATAATAAAGTATAATAAACACTCAACTAAACTTTATTTATAAAGCCCTTTAAGACAACCACAGCTGCAACAAAGTGCTGCACATATATAAAATCAAAACATGAAAACAGAAGACAACTATTAAAAACACTAAAACCAGTAATAAAACAATAAAAATGAAATAAAAATAGAATAAAAAAGTCTCAGGCTGTGCCAAAAGCCAGAGAGTATAAGTGTGTTTTTGGACAGAAGTGGACAGTGAACGGGCTTGTCCCACAGACAAATAAACAAATAAATAAACTACAAAAAGAGTCAGGAAGTGAAGGTGGTTAAACTGTAATTATTATTTTGTAGAAAAACAAAGTTGATTAAAAGAACATGATACTACATATCACATACTGTATACAGTACATGATAATGTAGACAAACACACATTGTGACCCAACTTCATACCAGCTGGTGGCAGTAATACACCAGTTTAGTTTTGTGCCAAACATCAGTAAAATTAAGAAGAAGAAGAAGAACCTCCTGACTCCAGATCAGCAGCACCTGCAGACAATCAGTTTATTGAGCTGTGATTGGCTGCAGGTTCCAATAAATACCAAATCACTGCTGTGAACACACACACASCTAKTAGCTCTCTGTTGTGTTGACACTCAGAAATGACTTGTGGACTTGGTTTGGGGTGAGTGTTTGCAGCTGCTTTCATTGAAATGTTCACTTGTYTTTATTTTCCTGACTTTGTTGTTTTGCTTCCTGAACAGAATCTTGGTGGTTGTCTTTGTTCAAGCAGAGCATGTATGTTGTTTCTGGACTGAAGGASGTAAGAAGAAAAGCCAGTGTTCTATTGGTCAAATGTCCTGCTTCAGTACACTCATGTTGTGTCTTGYTGTCCTGCAGCTCAGAACATCCAGAACAGCAACACAAATGTTGGCTTCCCACCACCAGATGGCAGATGGCTGAAATCTGTCAGCTATCCCCAGAATCAAGTCAGACAAGGCTTTGTTTCTCCACACTCAGTCCAGAGCAGTAGCTTCAACACTGGTCCTGCAGTTTACAGTGGTTCTGGTCCAGGACTGTCCAGCAGGAGTTCAACACAAGCTGTTTCCCAGCCAGCCCACAGTTCAGTCAGATTGGTGCAGAGCAGCTCTGTGTTCAAAGACAATGGGCAAAAGCTGTCTTCACCCAGGGCTAATGCTCCAAATGTACTAAAGCTGTCCTCTGGTCTTTCTCCTGCTGCTGTTGCTGGTGGACCTTCAGTGAGTCAGAACCAGAAGAACCCCTCTGCTCTCAGCAGGAGAAGTTGGCCTGTTCAGCAGGGACTGCAGCGTTCCAGCAAGTATCCATCCAGCAGCTCTCTGGCTTCTAGGGAAAGCTACTCCTTCAGACCAGTTTCTCCTCAGTCTGCAGCACAAGAACCTTCCAGGGCTGCTGCTAAAACCCCCTTTTCCCAAAGCCAAGTGGGTGCCTCTGCTGGTCTGTCTGGTCCTGTTGGTCCAAAACAAGGTGGACCCTCTGTACAGATACAAACGTTCGCTCGTGGTCCTGCTAAGAGGGTGTCTTCAAAGCGTAGGTCTGGTGGACCTAAACCCAGGAGGCTGTCCTCTCTGACCAAGTCCTGGAAACCATCTGTGGGTCAGGAAGGAGGTTGAAGACCCAGAAGCTGGCTGCAGACCTACAAAACCAGCCATAATCTGGCTGTCCCCAGGAGCAGCCCTGTGGGAGCTTCTGCCCAGGGTTCTACAGTTTTTGCCATCCCTGAAGACTTTGGTGGCTTTGCTATCAGACGGCTGAAANCAAGAACCTTCCAGGGCTGCTGCTAAAATCCCCTTTTCCCAAAGCCAAGTGGGTGCCTCTGCTGGTCTGTTTGGTCCTGTTGGTCCAAAACAAGGTGGACCCTCTGTACGGATACAAACGTTYGCTCGTGGTCCTGCYAAGAGGGTGTCTTCAAAGCGTAGGTCTGGTGGACCTAAACCCAGGAGGCTGTCTCCTCTGACAAAGTCCTGGAAACCATCTGTGGGTCAGGAAGGAGGTTCAAGACCCAGAAGCTGGTTGCAGACCTACAAAACCAGCCATAACCTGGCTTTCCCCAGGAGCAGCCCTGTGGGAGCTTCTGCCCAGGGTTCTACAGTTTTTGCCATCCCTGAAGACTTTGGTGGCTTTGCTATCAGACGGCTGAAAGAACCTGCAGACCAGAACCAAGTGACTGTCCAGAAGCAGCAGCTTCAGATCCYCACAGCTGCTCCTCAGTGGCTGGTTCCATCTACTCCCTATCCTCATCCAAAGGCCAGGTGGTCCAGGGTCAAGTTGTAGGAAGTTTTCTAATTTACTTGCATTAGGTGTTCTAAGTTTTTAATGTGTAGTATTTTTGAAATAAAAATTATTTTTAAACTTTTGACTTTAGCTTTTAATTGACTGCAGTGCTTGGTCTGTATCTGGGTACTCAGAATTGCTAAACTAAACTCTGGTGTGGTCTCCCAACCTGAAAGCAATACCTTAAGGAATTTATTTACCCAAAACAGAAACATGTGATCAAGATTAAAGTACTTTGAATAGTAAATCAGGTTTTATAGCAATTGCAGACAATGTCACACAGGGCAGTGGTATTATAAGACTGTGCGATGTAGTCTCAAATACTTGCATTTATACAGAATGTTGTCCAAACATCTCTTGGTGCCAATGCTTGGGTGAAGACAATATTTGATAAAACTAGCAGCAAAAATGATTACAAGATTCCGATCTTAAAACATGAGAACAAAGTTAAATCGAAACGTTTGACTTAAGGTAAGCAAAAGACGTTACTGAATCTTGACCTGAGAAGAATATGGGACTTTAGAGAACAAGTTGTTTTTTAAGGCCCCTCCCTTTTGATCACCAAGTTTGGAAAAATTGGTCTTAAAAATTTGAACCAACCATTGGTATAAAATAAGCTGAACTATTAAGCAATCAACCAGAAATAGTGACTTAAAGCAAATCTTAAATGTTAAGACCTAAGAATTACAATACAAGGTCAGGTCAGAGATTAGGATATTGACTGAGAAACCTAAGAACCATATTTTGGAAAATAAATCCACAAGATGTTCCACCCCATTCAGGAAAGTCTTTTAATCCACCCCAAAAATAAAATTGAAAAACCAATTCAAAAGAATGCGGTTTTCAAGAAAATTAGCGCAGTGATAAGTGAAACAGATGAAAATTAACTTAAAACCAGCCTATTAAAAATTAAAACTTATTTTCAAATTAAGTCAAAATAAAAACACAATCTGACACAATTCAACCTTTCCCTCCTTTTTTTTAGTTGAAGCACGATTGCTGGAGAAGAGTTACTTCTAGATTAGAGTCTATCTTTGATGCTGGCAGGATCAGATGCAGGGCTTTGCCCCCCCATCCCCACCCCCACCCCAGTCATAATGACCAGCTGACCAGAGGGCATGAGACCAGCATCACATGCAGGGCAAGGAGCTTGTGCTGTAGCAGACATACATGAAAAAAGAAAATTAAATAGAGAATATAACTTCTGAAGTGAATACCCCAAAGATCAGTTATGGTTTTGGATTTTGAAAACATGAAAGGCTTGTAATGACAAATCACCAGTCGGATCCAGTTTCCCAGTATTACTGCCATCTACATCAAAAATAACATTTTATTTTATTTTTTCATATACGGCCCAGCAATGTACTTCTAATCAATATTTTGTCACAGTGAAAAACTCACTTTCTCAAATGAGGTCTTGACGCCCCACCAGGAAGGGTCACTCCAGGAAAATCCCATCAGGTCAGCTGGTACCTCCTCACTGCATCTCATCTCGCTCTGATGGAAAATAGCATCGTCCACTGCACCCAAGAGCCCAGTCTTGGCCACGCCCCCACAAGAGGCTGGACAGCTGAAAACCTGAGCTTGTTCTCAGCAGGTAAAGAGAGTGAACAGCTCTCACAACTCTGCATCAGATTAGTGATGACCACAGACTTCAGAACAGAACTGGACAGAACAGAACAGGACAGGACAGAGGTGACAGGCCCTCTCTCCTCTTTCAGACTTTTGCAGATGTTGTGAACAACAGTCCTGCAGCTGTCAGTGCACCAACTTTCATGCCTGTAAGTCTGTCAGGTTGCCCGTTTCTTCAAAGTCATACTGTGCATGGAGTGCAATGGGTTTCATTCCATAGGCAGTAAGAGAAAAATCTGAGGTCGTTGACCTTTTAGGAAGTCCTGGATTGACCCTGTCCTTGGGAACGCAAAACCTTTAAAAAGAAGGGACACAAATAAAAGAGAAAGAAGGCCGTGGTCAGACTCTTAGGACAGCAGGAGGAGAGCTGGGAGTTGGAGAACGGTGAATGGTTAAGAATTATAAAGCTAAAGATGAAGATGAAGRAAGAGAAAGGAAAAGAGAAATAAAATCACTACGAAGATCTGGAGGTCGACATCGAGAGAAAATCCAAGACGCTATTGGAAGATCTGGTGGAGTGGTGAAAGATTTGTTGACAAAATCAACGGCGGGTAGGCACAGCTGTACTGTGAATGGGCCAGAGGGGGGGATAGTAAATAAGGAATACGGGAGTAGTGATTCTTCAGATAGTGAAAAAATGAGTTCTAAAAG